CCCCAAAACCCCAAAACCCCAAAACCCCAAAACCCCTTTTAGCCAAAATGTAATTGATAGCAAAAGCCGATAAAAAGAATAAAATAAATGCATTTGATGAATCTAGTGCCTCATCTAATTAAAATTCTGCTCTGAAAGGATATCCAGCTATTTCATTGAAGTTCTCTTCAAAATTGAGATCTGTTTCGCTTTGATACTCGAATCTTGGCTGATTCATAAATTCATATAAATTCTCCCTGAACACATTAGTATCAAAATTATATTTTGTGATTGGCTCAGTGATTTGACTAGTTTCAATAAAGATTCTTCTGTCTAAATCCCAATTCTCACTCTCGAAGCTCTCCTTAGCAAGGTTACTATTCATAGTATCTCAAATCTGGGTAAGTGGAGGCAGCTTATCCTGGTTAATATCATCTTCCATAACTAATCTGATAGCTTCACCTTGTTCGCTAGCAGCGAGCGAGGGCTTGGAGATATCTTGGTTGATTTCTAAAATAATAGTAGTAGGTTTTTAATATCAGTAAAGGAAAGGTGCATGCATCTCAAGGGTAATAATTATAATCCTTCCCACAACAAAAGGTGGGTCTGACTCTTACCATTATTCCAGACATCCAGCACTTGTCTAGTGACCATTTGAAGAGTTTTAGCAGGATTATAGCCTTTTTGTGAGCTATCGTTTGTGAAAGAATCTCGGCTCTTATTACTTCTATCTTCTTTAATTTCTGAACCTTCGCTCGTGGTTACTTTATTGAATTTTACTTGAGTCATCTTGTCTAAATCAGAATTGAGTGGAAGCTCAAGTTACAAGACAGAATTGCCAAGGGCTGTTAAAATTCGGAAGATATTCGGTCTCATAATAGTAAAAACGAACATAAGTTGCGAACGGATAGGATATTTATCAACTTAGCATGATAGAAATTAATTGGTAATAAAATTACAAGGCTTTTATCATCGAAACTTGTTCTGTAAAGTTGATTAAGAATAATTTGATGTTTAAGAGCTAAATCAATAATATCGACAAGACTCTAGTCTCCTCTTTTATTATTTCAGAAAAGTTTGAATTACTTTTAGGGAAAGAAACACTTGACTCAATAATTTTAGGCTCTATAGACAAACCTAAAAAGGATTTTTCAGATATGATTTTGTTGTGTTGGGTTTGATTTTCTTCATGATTATTAAGATCTCCCATGGCAAGCTTTTTCTCGAAAATTTTTTGCTCTGTTAGGAATTTCTGCTGGTCATCTTGAGATTGTTTTTCAAATACCTTTCTGTCATCCTTATCTAATTTCTTCCAAAGTTTCCCAACCTCCTTCATAACCTGGAATGAATGCATATCCGGATGCTGTTTGCACACCTCTGATCGTATTTTCCTGACAAATATCATATAAGAAGTCAGAGGCTTCTTGGGCCTGTTCTTTTCCCATTCCCTAATTTTCTGAATACTACCACACTTTTGAACAAACTCTTTGAACTCTTTCTCATATCTCAATTTATCTAAATCAAAATAACCCTCCTTCTACCTAAAAACACCATGCAACACAATCCTCTCTTCCCCCAAGCAAACCCTTTATTCCAACCCATAAAAAACTAAAAAACCCAAATCACACCTCTCCTCATCCCTCTTACAAACCCACTAATCTCCTTCAAGCAAGACTCCATTTCCCCATCTCTCCACTCTAAAACACCCAAGGTTGCTTACCATCTCTTGCCTTCTGCTTGTACGACTCCTTCTTCTCTTCCGACAGCTCTGACCATTCCTGTCCAAACTCCTTCATAAGAACAGGAGCTATTTTGCCAGTTTTGTTAGAAGCTGAAAATTGGCTCTTTCTCTATATTGGAAGGTGAGATATTGGGGGTAAAAGTGTGACTCACTTCTTTGATGAAAAATGCATATGCAGTAATATTCTTCTTAGGCTTTAACAGGATTGATTTGAACTTAGTGAGATCTATAGCATGTTTGTTGTCTTTGGTGGGTTTGGATTTGGTTTTGTGAGAGGGGGTTTTCTTTGGGATTTTGGATGTCTGTTTTGCTTTTGTTTCGTGGGACTCGTTCATTTTTATCCTCTTGTTTGGTAAAGAAGATTCTTTAGAAAGTAATTCTGGGGTAAATCTAGTTGGCATAAAATTTATGTATTTTAGTCAATTTGAGTAAGCTTAAAAGGGGTTTTGGGGTTTTGGGGTTTTGGGGTTTTGGGGTTTTGGGGTTTTGGGG